TGAAAAATTGTATATTTACTAACCATATACTTTTTTGGAAGTTTATACTGGATATTCCAAAAGATGATCGGCTTAAAAATTAGGAGACAGTGAAACTTAACTTATTTTTTTCCCATTTCTGCCTTACCTACGTACTGAAGTCTTTGAATGGAAAATTGTATATTTACTAACCATATACTTTTTTGAAAGTTTATACTGGATATTCCAAACGATGATCGGCTTAAAAATTAGGAGACAGTGAAACTTAACTTATTTTTTTTCCATTTCTGCCTTACCTACGTACTGAAGTCTGAATGAAAAATTTTGAAGTTTATACTGGATGTTCCAAAAAATTATCCACTTAAAAGTCAGGAGACAGTGAAACTTAACTTATTTTTTCCCATTTCTGCCTTACCTACGTACTAAAGTCTTTGAATGGAAAATTGTATATTTACTAACCATATACTTTTTTGGAAGTTTATACTGGATGTTCCAAAAAATATCCACTTAAAAATCAGGAGACAGTGAAAAACTGAACTTATTTTTTCCCTTTTCTGCCTTACCTACGTACTGGAGTCTTTGATTGAAAAATTGTATATTTACTAACCATATACTTTTTTGGAAGTTTATACTGGATATTCCAAAAGATGATCGGCTTAAAAATTAGGAGACAGTGAAACTTAACTTATTTTTTTCCCATTTCTGCCTTACCTACGTACTGAAGTCTGAATGAAAAATTTTGAAGTTTATACTGGATGTTCCAAAAAATTATCCACTTAAAAGTCAGGAGACAGTGAAACTTAACTTATTTTTTCTTATTTCTGCCTTACCTACGTACTAAAGTCTTTGAATGAAAAATTGTATATTTACTAACCATATACTTTTTTGAAACATTTATGTACTGGATGTTTCAGAAAACTGACACAGATAGGCTGGGCTTTTCTTTACTCTTTTCACTTCTTTCAACTTCATTTAATCAAATCTTTTGATGAAAAGTTATATATTTAGTAACCAGTCACTTTTTTGAAAATCCATATACTGGATGTTCTACAAAATTAGTCCATGGCAAATTAAACTTATCCTTCCTATTTTAATTTTTTCTACTTTACTTACGGAAATCTTTTAAGGGAAAACTGCATGTTTATTAACCAGATGTCACTTTAAAACTTTATACTAATTTTCTACAAAATGATCCAGATAAAAGCCAAATATTGCATATTCTTTTCACATTTTCAAACTTATGTATGAAGCTGTTTAATGATTTTTTTTAATTTTATTTATTAACAGCTGCCTTTTTTGAAAGTTTGCATACTGTATGTTACGTAAAACTGATCCAGGTTAGAATGGAAGGGGCCTAGATATTTCTTTATCTTTTTTACTTTTTTCTACTTTCTTTGTTAAAGTCCATTGATGAAAAATTTTGTATTTACTAACAAGATGCAATTTTTGAACATTTTTATACTGGATGATCCAACAATGTCGATCCTGTTCAGACACTCATATTTTTCTTTATTTTATTCTACTTTATTTATTGAGAACTTTTGATGAAAAGTCTTATATGATGTTTTTTTAAACTTCACGATATACTAAATGTTCTATAAAACTGACCCAACATAGAATCACGGAAGATGGAATATTCCTTATCATTTTTATTTTACGAATATTTATTAAAGTAATTAACAAACATTTGTACTTACTAACCAGATATTTTTTTGAAACTTTCTATTCAGAATGTTTCACAAAATCGACCCAGATTTGAATACCAAAGGATTGAACGTTTTTTTTTCTCTTTAAAAAAATGTAGTATTTACTAACGATATGCCTTTTTGAAACTCTATATATATACAAGGTATTCCATAAAATTAATGCGGAACAGAATCGAAGCCAGATCTGACTATTTTCCTAATTTTTTTTAACTTTATTAACGTTTTGTTGAAAAATTTCATATTTACTAAACAAAGGGTTTCCTGAAAATTTATGTACAAAGTATTGTATAAAATTGACAGATCTGGATCAGATTTTTTCTTACATTTTTCTGTTTTATTTACATATTGACTCTTTTCGTCATGTTTTATGCTTACCAACTAGATGACGTTTTGAATATTTCAATACTAGACGTTCCAACAAAATTGACCTAGGTAGAATAGGGGTATTTTGATAGACTTTTCCACGATTTATAGGTAAATTTTCGTTTTCCAACAGCTTCTCCGCCAAACCGGCAAAGTGTTATCAAACATTTATATACGGTGTGTTAAAAACTAAACTACAGGGTGTTTCAAAAAATTTTATATCTACTAACCAGCGAGGAAAGCACCGCGAAGCGGTGCTCACGCCGCGCGTAGCGCGGCCCGAGGGCCGAAGGCCCGAGAGAAACGTCAAGTCGGCGAAGCCGACTTGCCTACGTTTCTAGTCATCATATATATTAAAGCGTGTAGGTTACTCTCGCTCGCACGCCCGCCCCCGAAAAAGGGCCGCGTTCCCATAACAAAGGCTCCCTCGGCGAGCGGCGCAGCCGCGAGATTCGGGTCGCGAAGCGACCCGTCGTTCTCGCCGCGTTGTTTAGGGGTGTTCCGGTGCGGGCTTTCCCGCGTTTTCCCCTCGAATTTTCCGCGTTTCCGGTCGTCCGCGCGACGGACCGCGGCATTTAGCGGGGAAGTGAGACGCAGATACTCGGAAACGCCCTCCATCGGAAGCGTTTCGGGGTCGATTTCTCCGACCGAGGGCTTTTTTCCCGGGAGGGATCGGGACTTCCTTCCGCTTTTACTCGAAAGTTTCGTCCTTTCCGAGCGTCTCGGGCGTATTTTTGCGGCGTATTTTTTACTTTTTAACGCCGAAATTAGCTTTTCAAAAGGGGTCTGCATCTCGCGTCTCTCTCTCGAGACCCCGATTATTTTATAAAGCCCGGATTATTTCGGCGAAAACGCCGTTTTCGCGACGGCGTAATTTTTTTCCCTCGCTCGATCGGCCTTCGCTTTCTGCGCGAGGACGAAGCTCTTGCCTTTCTCTTGGCGTACGTACCGCGCCCCAGGACTGAGGAAGCCCGCGTTGGCCCCCCGAGACGCCTTTCCGACACGCGTCGCGACGTTCTCTCTCTTCTATATCTCCATCAACTTTTTTTAGGTCGAATGTAACAAAATTTAAGACCGGCATTAGCGATACAAAATTTGTGCGTTCAACCATGGGCGTCTCTTCGCGGCGGGGACGGTGAGAACCTACTTTTCCCGGCGTTTACGAGACATTCGTTCAGCTCCCCCTGTCCAATTATATGGACGACATTCCCATACCTCGAGCTTTCCGAAAAAAATTATATTCGCCCCCCACAACAGTACCAACAGGTTCTAAGTGATCATATTTAACCCCTAAAATGAAAAGTTCGCAAATCTCTGAACCGCTGTCAGACTGTCAGTTTAGTGTTACAAGATGGCCGATTTTTTTGTTCAAGTTGTTTATTTTTCAAAACAGAGAAATGTGATTATTATTTAACCATTCTCGCCTTCCATTTAGTAGCTTCAACTACACTAATTCTAAGAAAACTATGGCAAATAAAGATTTTTCAAACTACAGTACATTAATTTCATTTTATAAAAACAAAATTCACTTAGGTACATACGTAAAGCAAGTTAAAAAGTTATTAAAACAAATTGAAAAAATCCCTGCTTTTGAAAATTCCTCAATAAATTTTGGGCCCCCAGGAAGCCACCAGTTAAAGTGATTAAAGAACAAGTGATTTTCGCGAGTGCAGGTTATAAAATTCTGAAATGTTCCCCGAGATCAAAGTTTTCATTGATACGGGACCTGTCTCAAAAACTTAGTCTTTTTTTTCAAGTTGTTTATTCTTCACAGCAGGAATATGTGATTATTATTTAACCATTCTCGCCTTCTATTTAGTAGCTTCAACTACACTAATTATTAAGAAAACTATGGCAAATAAAGTTATTTCAAACTACATTACATTAATTTCATTTTATAAAAAAATTTGTTCACTTGGGTACATAACGTAAAACAAGTTAAAAGGTTATTAAAACAAATTGAGAAAATACCTGCTTTGGAAAATTCATCAATAAATTTTGACCGATTTAAATAAAACATCTTTGTTGACCTACTATATGTTACATATATAGCTTGACATTGTGTATACAGTATAAAAACACCCACCAGCATATTATTTAAAATATAGAGATATATACATATGTTCAATTATACATATAATAAATACAATTTTTTGTCGACGAATTTTCGAAGGTAGTTTCAATAATATATTTTTAATTGATTCTGACAGGTCTAAAATAAGTAAACGATAAAAATATTTGTATAACACTGATAGACATTTAAAAGAAAATATGTAAAAATATTAACCATTCAGTTTTAAATAAAGGTAGGTAACTATTTCACTTACAGTACATTCTCTATTTTTTTTTGTTATTCACAGAAATAANCATCTTCAAACTTCAAGTAATATCCAACTTCGCAGAGGTTATTCAAGGTCAACTAATATGAATTTCAACGCGTCACCGCAGGGGTCATTCAAGGTCACCGAGGGGGGGGGGTGAAGGGTGAGACGAGGGGGAGATTGAGAATCGGTTAAAATACCCTACTACCACTATTCTAATAAAATATTCTATTTTATAATAAAGTAGTGTTTGAACAAGCACAATTATGCATATTAGTATTAGTATTAGTATTAGTATTAGTTCAATGAAGTATCATTCTTTCATTTTTCGTTTAGTCAGAAATGTTAGATAAATGTCCAATTCCAATTATTCCAATTATTCTCTGGACATTATTTCAAGTAAATAATACACATTCTTTTTATTTATTATAATAATACATACATCTGAATAAATACTGCATTAAGTACTGTACCAGAATTTTTGTGCTTAAAATAACATTAATTTTTCTAAATATAAAAGCTTACTGTCACATGTCAACTGCATTAAAACATTTTTTTATATCTTCAATTATAACATTGAAATTTTAATCTACTACAATAGATTTTATCACTACCACTTACGATGGATCTACAATACATTATCTTTGTGGGATTTCATATTTCTCACAACAATCAACGTCAACAGTATTTTTACAAACAGAATAAATATTTTTTTTGTATAAATTTCATATTTTAGTTCTTCAGTTCTCTCCAGTGCTATAGTTAAGGTCATGAGTGCCTAGCATAAGATATGAATGTTGCACCTCCCCACAACTTTTAGTTAAATCTTTAATGTAACCCTAATCTACCAGCCCCCCTGCCTGCAGATCTGAGAATGTGCCCTGGGTAGCTGTCTTCGCAGTCAGCATTTACCTACAATGCTGGTGATCTCTCGGATTATAAATAGCCACCAACATTGACATTTTATTTTACATAAACTTTAAAGTTCTTCCTTTTTAATTTTTCTTTCTTTTATTTCGTAAAAGAAATCAATCCTACTCTAAATTAGAAACTTCTTTTTCTTCTAAAAATCATTAACCTGAAATTGCATATTATTAATATGAATTAAACAACACATTTTCTCTTACTTACCTGCATTTAATAAATATCCAATAATTTTCATTAAAAAGGAATTATTATCAAAACGTTAGCTGGGTATTTACTATATTCTGATTTCATGAAAACTGTAATATAATATTAGTCAGTATATAGAACAAGTACAAGTATATAGAAAAATTATTATCTACCTTTTCAAAACAGTTTTCAAATAGAAACATGTCCCATAAACTTTGGGAATAATTATAATATTTATTATTTTCACTGTAGTACTATAATATTACAATTACTTTCTATATATGATTACATTCTTTTCATTGCTACAATATGATTCTTTCCGTTTCTAATACTTTATTTATATAGATTTCAGAAACTGACAAATATTAAGGTTATGCATTACCATTGAATCAAAAAACAAAAATGGTAAAGGAATGGTAGTTAAATAATTTCCCGGATCTTTGTGTATTGAACTCATAGACCTCAAGCGCGAGCGCTTATTGGTTAAACTGTCAAAAATTAGTTCTTACTTCTGCGATTAGCCAATAAGTTTTCACGTTTAAGTCCATGACATTTCTGTATAATTTGAGATTATTGTTCCCTCCTGCAATTATCTCAAACACAGATGAATACTGATAGATAGTATGTAATGTACCAACTTATGCCTATTAAAATAAAATTAAAATACTTTTAATTTTAATTTAGAGATAATACAGAATATATAGGTACTTGCTCAAACTTTATTATCCAATTTTATATCACAAATTAACATAATTTATTCTTAATAAAAAATTCCTAACTTTGTTTTAAACGNCTTGTAGGATTGCTTCTTCGTGTGTGTGTGGGTGGGTGGGTGTGTAAGTGTTAGTCGTGTGGGGATGCCCCCTTACGGGGGCGTACGTGTCTTTTGGTGTATTTGTCTGTCTGGTATATTGTTTGTCGGGGGTCGCAATTTTAAAGAAATGTATTTTAAAGTAATGCAAATAACTGATAAATAAGTTAAAACTTACCTGGGCATAACCCCGGGACAGGTACCTGAACAAAGATGCCGACGGCCTCTATGCTTAGCCGGGGATTAGGTCGGTGATTAAAAGGAAAGAAAGGGATTCTTTCCAGGTAGCCTTAATAAAGGCAGGTAGATTTTGCTCGTTGCAATCACTTCACCTCACAAACAAGCACGTCCGCTCAGCTCGGCTGTTCGCACTGAACTGCGTCGATTCATTCACGTCCTAGCGGCTAGCGTGTACGGAGGGTAGGCGAGTACAGTGGACTGTCGCACGTCTGGAGTTATTTTACTTCTATTCGCGTGAAATTTAAATTCTTTGGAGGAATAGATGGAGAAATCACTAATAATAAAAATAAATTTTTGGGGTGAAAATAATGAAAATGTAACTATTTTAAAAGACACAAAATAAATATGTCATATACAAATATAAACATAAAAATACAAAATATTTTACAGAAATAAAATAAAATACCTAGTCAAAAATAACCTAATATCACAATAGACAAGAATGTTTAAAAAATAATTTTACAACGATCAAATTCGCGACTCCTACATTTGCGAATGTAAAAATATTATAGTAAATAGAATCGACACGCGATGTAAGGAATCTTCCCTACATATGAGCGGCCGCGGATATGTCCAACAAGCCTCATCTCAGTTCCACATACCGTTTCAAGTTCCTGATACCGTTCTACAAACATTTGAGCGATTACTCGGATGATCATCCGATTATTGAAATAATCGAATACCGACTTTCCGATTATTCAAATCATCCGATTATGCGCATCACTAGTTTCTAATACTTTATTTATATTGATTTCAGAAACTGACAAATATTAATGTTATGCATTACCATTGAATCAAAAAACAAAAATGGTAAAGGAATGGTAGTTAAATAATTTCCCGGATCTTTGTGTATTGAACTCATAGACCTCAAGCGCGAGCGCTTATTGGTTAAACTGTCAAAAATTAGTTCTTACTTCTGCGATTAGCCAATAAGTTTTCACGTTGAAGTCCATGACATTTCTTTATAATTTGAGATTATTGTTCCCTCCTGCAATTATCTCAAACACAGATGAATACTGGTAGATAGTATGTAATGTACCAACTTATGCCTATTAAAATAAAATTAAAATACTTTTAATTTTAATTTACAGATAATACAGAATATATAGGTACTTGCTCAAACTTTATTATCCAATTTTATATTACAAATTAACATAATTTATTCTTAATAAAAAATTCCTAACTTTGTTTTAAACGAACATTTACAATTTCCGATTAATTCTATCTTAAACAAGTCTATTTAAGCTAACAAAAAAAAACAAATGGTTAAAAATTGGCTTCCATTTCGAATAACTAATAAGATATTTTTTCTTTTAAAAAAATTCAATTACAGTCTTTTTCTATCTATATAATTATTAATTCTACAAAAATTAATTGATGGAAAATTTGTATTAGGTATCACTGAACACATTACTATAGACTTCTTTTTATTTCAGTTTTCATCTCAGACACATTACAAAACACAAAGTGCTCGCCACATAGCTTTTTTCAGTTCAGAGCGAACAGCCGAGCTGAGCGGACGTGTTTGTTTGTGAGGTGAAGTGCATTGCAACGAGCAAGATCTACCTGCCTTTATTAAGGCTACCTGGAAAGAATCCCTTTCTTTCCTTTTAATCACCTACCTAATCCCCGGCTTAAGCATAGANGAAGGCTGTCCAGGCCTACACGAGATGAGGCAGGATAAAGAGGGATAATCCCCCTCGATGCCAAATGAGGCCAATTTCTAGCCATGGAATAATGGCGCGCGCGGCGCGGTTAGGTTTGGCGAGTGTTGGTGTGTTTTATTTGTGTTTTTAGTGTGTTTTATTAGACATATCATTCACTGTATAACATAATAATGTCTGATCATATAATCACATTTTTTTATTAATTATAAAATGTTTTGTTTTTTTGTTTGTTTTAATAAAAAATGTCTGAAAGTTTGTCGTGATCAGAGGTAGGTAGTTTTTTTATGGATATTAACATAACGAAAAATTTAAAGTTGTATAATAAATCGCTATTACAAGAATTATTCGGATTGGTTTAGTAAAATTATTTACTTGTAATATTTTTTTATTCACCGTGAATGCTAATACAATATAGAAAGCACTGAAAGCTGCTCTATAATCATTTCCACTCTTTTTGTTTTCAAAGTATGTACTGAAATTTGAAATTTTTTCAATAAACATTTCAAAAAGTTGGTAACAAAATTATTTCTTATTTTAAGTAGGAAGGCTATTAGAGCTTTTAAAAGTGTCTAATGCTTGAGTGATTTTAATGCTTTTTATCAAATGTACTTATTTTCTCATGGTGACAAAAATTATCTACGTGAAAATTATTTTACAAAACCAATTTCTGAGTGATCTGTGTAGGGTGAGATTTGTTATGTTATTTTAAATTTAGCGGCGGCAGAATACCTAAAATAAATATTGGATAGGTATATAGTTGTAGAGCGTACAACTAGATGGCGCTTGCATCTTTTACCGGCTACAGGTAATTTAACTCGCTGTATTACCGATAATTCCTAGGAAAGGAAAGCAGTAGAAGTTGGAGAAAGTGTCAACAGTTAGCGCTCTTACTGACCACGAAATTTGTTCAAGTTTCCTATCTACAGTATCATTTATCTAGGGGCAAACGGAAGCTCTGTTTAACACGGAGTTGAGCTTTGCTTAAATAGAAAGCTTTGTATGTACAACTGGAAATGACAGTTCATCACAAGCTCAACGGTGAGCCCTCATTTGAACTCTATTGTACAACAGGCCCTTAGTGCCGTCTCATTTTGACGTGATTTTGAGTGGATTTTGACAGCAAGAATACAGCAAGCAAGAAGTCCTTCATGATCATGAATCATGATGTTCTCTACTCGTTGCTTTCTTGCTAATACATAATTCAGGAATTACTAGATGGCGCCGGAAAAATGTAAAATATGCAAGTTCGGTATTGACATCTAGATGCTCTATACATATCTCTTTGTCTTTTCAACTCTTACAATTAGAAAAGATCAAAACACATCTGGGGAACGCCACGCGCCATTATTCCATTGCTAGAAATTGGCCTCAATGATTTGAGATCGAGAGGGATTATCCCTCTTTATCCTGCCTCATCTCGTTTAGGCCTGGACAGCCTTCGTAGGTGGGCCCCATCCGTCGTCTACCCCGACCGCAAATGCGGCCGGTGTAGGCGCTTTGTGGGACCTCCTTTTGTCCTGGCTGGGCCCCGCCGGCTAGGGCCCTTTCTTCTGGCGCTCTTCTTGCTTCGCCGGCTCGTCTGTGTAAACCCCGGGGGTAGTGTCATGTTTATGTGTGGTATGGTTGGGTAGGGTAGTGCGGCTATGCAGCCTGGGATGCGCTTTGCTAAGGTGGCCCTTAGGCTAGCGCGGGAGGGGAG